ACACACACAGAGAGAGAGAGAGAGAGAGAGAGAGAGAGAGAGAGAGAGAGAGAGAGAGAGAGAGAGAGAGAGAGAGAGAGAGAGAGAGAGACTGACAGAAACACAGTTTATTTCACACACAGGACCACACAAACACTAACTCACAAACATAGAAAAAATAACTCAGGTACAAAAATACGCCACTCTCGAACCTTCTATACCGAAACATACACCCGTACAAGTACTGTAGATCTAAGTGTACACCGTCACCTCTTGCCACCATAATGCCTTGTCGTGCACACTGAATTGCAGACAAGTTAAGCCCCTCCACCCTCACCCTCCCCGCCTCTTCCACAACCTCCCTACCAATCCCACAATCCTGACAACCAGCAATCACTTATTTTATACTGCTGGCGTGTCGATTGGCATTCAGGTATCGTAGGTGTTCCAAAGGGACAGTCAGGTTTTACCAGCCCAATTTCCCCAACTTCATTGGGTCGTTTTTAAGGACAAGCGGGCTAACCCAGATTTCGAGTGATTTCAGAAATCTTGATCTACACCAGAAGTGGGCATTGCCCTACCTATAGGAGAAGTTTGGTTTCATTGGTGTGTATATTTATATTATTTGGTTATAGAGAAGACTCTCCTTGTCTTTAAAAAAATTGAATATGGGGCAAAAACTTTACCATCGATTTTCTCAAAACAGCGTTTTTCGGGATAGACCCCGTGTGGTTAAAAGCGACCATTTACTACATTTAGCAGTACATGTGATGTAGCCTACTATCACAGAGCCCGCCAATAAAAAGAAAAACCCGCTAAAATATTTAGCTTGGTTTTATAAGTGGTGTGTTGATAGCTCAGTTGGTATCATGCTGGTGTGCGGTGCTGATGACCCTTCAATTCCCTAGAATTACAAAATTATGTCAGTTCAGTACCTATCTTTGAAAAATTTGACGTTAAAAATTGTGAGTTTCACAATATAACAAGTTTTTTTAGAATGCATAATTTCTTTTAATATCTTGATAACCAGTAGGCCCCCAAAAAATAATCTGACGATTTTAATAGAACAGAGATAGGACACTCAAATTTGGTTTCTCTCGCATGGTCTTAGTATATAAATATAACTCAAAAGAACCAAAAATATCAGATAGAACGTTGTAATTAATTCTAAAGTAGCGCCTTGCTGGAGGCGCTTAACTATTTTTACCAAAACCCCGTTGTTCCCCGGTGGAACGTTCTTAGAGAATAAAAGGTGAGCGAGGAAGAGCCAGGCCAGTCCATCCATCCATCCATCCACCCGTCCATCCATCCGTCCGTCCATCCATCCACCCATCAATCCTTCCATCCATCCATCCATCTATCTATCTATCTATCTATCTATCTATCTATCTATCTATCTATCTATCTATCTCGTGCGACAGCCCGAAAGCTTTAGTCATCTTGCAACACTTAGCAAGGTTCTCGGGAAGTCAGGCAGAAATCATGAGAAAAGTGAGCGTTTTCTTGTATCCGGTACATTGTACTCTGAATGTCTTACGCCCGGCTACTTTCAAGATCAACGCAGGCCTAGGAGACGAGCTATTTCAATCTTGCATGTTATGAGCCGATCAGGGGTTGGGGTGGGGGGGGGGGGGCGGGGGTGGGGGGGGGGTTGTGGGCAGAGTGGGATACATATTCCCATGAGGCCAACGGAATTACCGGGTGCCTTATAAAAAAGAAAGAAAAATAATGGACCTATCTAAAGAGCAAGGATTTTTATCTCAATTTCAATTATAACACTTCGCAAAATAAAATTCCAGCCAGGGAACGTCCAATTTTAAAGATGAAAAGATCACGTGATTTAGAACTATTATTGAGTTTAAAAAAACACACATTTGAACTGAATCTGAATAAAACGCCAACTTTACACTATAAATTACAACTGACTGTATTGTGTAGATATAGGATATTTGTGCAAGAATACATTTAAAATCTGACCCATTCAAAGTCAAAGTGCAATACATGCAATTTTTTTGGAGTTATTTGTAGGACAGAGTCTACGGTAAAAAACATATATACATGTAATCGAACAGTTGAAGCTCAATGCTGAATAGGGGGTCAAAAGAACCGGTTCAGAAACATTGCCACAGGATTATTAAACATTAAATTATATAAAACGACATTATATATATTCAAGCTTGTCAGGAGAGAAATGTTTAACACGTGGAGTATAAAATGCATTCCAAATAGCCTCCATTTCCTTAGGTTTATTTTTTCATGTCAGACTTAAATAAATGTGTTTTTTAATGCACAGTAACTGCACATAATGAATGATTTTATAACACATGAGTGTAACGTTTTTCCCTTTACCCAATTTTGGTCGAACGTTTCAAAAGTTGGTGTTGCACGGATATGTCTGTCGATTTTCTTTATATGAACATTTAAAAAGATGTTGTTTAAAAAAAAAAATCTATACTCAGTGGGCTGTTTGTGCGACGTTTTGTTGAAGTTTGTGCGGCGCTGACCGTGCTATTGCCCTTTTAATGGGTCATCTTTTTAAAAACACATTGTATTTGATAAAAAGTTCGCCATCCGAACATTGAACCCATACCATGCCCACCCGAACAGTGCTACTGACTGTAGTGTCTTTAGGTTAGGCCATTCCCAAAGGGAGGATTTAACATGTTCTTATGCTCAGTAGAATTGTAAATGGGCTGATTTATCGAGGTCATGCTCATAGTGTGCCGGAACAACTACATGTACAACATAGGGGGAACTGCTGCTTTTTCTTTTCTCATCCTCACTATCGTCATTTTGCCTATACTTTTTTGTATGTTTGTCACTCTTTTGTGATCTGATATTTCCGGGGTGTCTTGGTAATCGAAGGAGACTTTGTACTGTTGAGGCTAGAGAGGTGAAAAGAGTAAGCCTGATTCACCGTTTGGACTTCCCTGTTGACATCCACCCCTTGCAGGCGCTCATAATATGACCTTATGTAGTTGCGAGCGCCGTAAAACCTTACTGAAACAAACAACGAACCCAACTGCGACGAGATTCATCTTTTTAAAACGCAGACACAGATCTGGATGACAGAATAGCACGACTAAATACATATTTTATTAAATAAAACCCTTTACATTTCTGTAGATTTCAGAATCAGCGTTGCCGGTGCAATTACAATTTGCATGTTTATTTTTCTAGAAAAGAAAACCAAATAAAAACAGGAACACCCCCCCCCCCCCCCGCCCTGCTAAATGTATGCAATTCCACACTACATGTGGCCCCCTCCCGCCTCAGCACATTTACGCCCTCGTACGCTTCGTGCGCCTCGTGCTGTCTCCTGGAAACGCGTTTGATCTGACCATAGATGCCAGCCTCAGATCATTAATTGATCTTGTCATCGATCGCTAGTCGTATGGCCCAGCGTAGAAAACAATTGGGAGCATACGCAAGGCTGGGGCTGGGAAAAGGGTGGTGGGGGAGGGTGGTGGTGGAAGGGAATCTGTCAGTCAGCGGGCTGAGCGTTGTGGGGGGGAGGGAGGGAGGGAGGGAAGGAGTGAGTGAGAGAGGGAGAGAGACATCGCAGCATTTCTCAGCACATTCTGTAGGTGGGAGAGAATGGGAGGAGGAAAGAGCAGCGTTTGTTCTCACCAGGTAAGTCTGTGATTGCTGTTGTGTTGTTGTTTTTTTGTGTATGTGTGTATGCACGCATATATATATATATGTGTGTGTGTGTGTGTGTGTGTGTGTGTGTGTGCGTGTGTGTGTGTGTGTGTGTGTGCGTGTGTGTTTGTTTTGTTTTGTACGTGAGTGTATGTGCTTGTGTATCATGTAGAAGAGAATATTATAATATATACATACATGATATATAAATCTACGATATATTATGTCATTATCATGTACAAATGTACTCTAACAGTTTTAACTTCAAATATTTTACAAGTTTATGACTCAAACATTCAATTGTTTTGAATTTTTTTCCACATCTCATGCAAGTTCCTTGTCGCGTGTGTGCTGTGTTCACAAAGACGTGCTGGTGTATTTTTTCTCTGGCGATGCCATTCACATAGTTTTGATATTCCGTCAAATATTGTGAAACAAAAACTATGCACGTAAACTATGGCCCATTTCAAATAATTGTTTGCCGCATTAAAAGTTTTTTTCTCTGCGTCGATTCACTTTGTAACTCGGCTGAATGAATGGGAGAAAAACCAAAGTATTGAAACGCTTCGGGTGGGCACCCCGCTTTCATTAACTGCGAGAAGGTTCACCGTGAGCAGACACACTTGATGAAAAACACGAGATTGTCTGACAACAATACGCTCTTCAAGGGACAGACCCAGGCGAGCAGGAGGCAGAAAGAACGCAACACTTTAGAAATCAATTTAGAACGGTAACGGTAACACAGGCCTGAGATAGGCAGAACAGAATCAGAAAAGGCAGTCCGATCTCCGCCATGACTATTATTCATCGTTGGAGTTGAAAGAAAGTAACTTTCGAGTTAGATTCCTAGTGTGTCGCCCAAAGCTGCAGCCCCATCACACCCGGAACAGACTTCATTGGGCACAGCATCGCGTGAGATGGCTATGTCTCTTTTGAAAAAACGTACATTTTATCAGATGAGTTCCGATTTGAGCTGGATCGAAATGATGGATGGGCCAGATTCTATAAAAGACTGTTTGAAAGTTGCACCCCAGCTTGCATCAGACACGCAAACAATTTCGGTAGAGGCAGCGCCATGGTATGAGCTGGAGTCAGCAATGCAGGCAAGACCGCACTTGTGCATATTCATGGGAACATAACAGCTCAAGGCGATGTCAACCAGGTTCTCAAGCCATACGTCGTACTTCACTTTCAAAACGAAACTGAAAGACACACATTACTTATGAATGATAATACACCTGCTCATAAAGCTGCTGTGACGAATCAGTTTCTCAGAGCTATTAAGATTCCCCTCCTGCAACCATGACCAGCGCATTCACCAAATCTCTCCTCAATTAAGCACACACAATAATATTAAGATATCAATTTTAGATCGCCCCATTCGTGCCAGACCACGTCAGCCCCGGACCCTTGCTCAGTTACAAAAAAAAAGAATGGAATAACATCCTTCAGTGGACAATATCACCTCCAGGCGCAGTTCGTCCATAGAGCACGGTCGTGCAGTGCCGCCCAAAATGTTTTAATGTTTTATGACGTAAAGCACCCACAATAATAAAATAAAAGACGCCAGAAACAAACACTAGCCAAATATTATATCAAAACAAGGCCCTCACTGGCGCGCAACTGTCATTTCTATTCTATAGCGCCTTAAAACATCTACTATGCCATGCCTAAGTTCATGCACTGTATCTAAACATAACAGGATAGTCAACAGTGGAAACCTGACCTATAAATTGCTCTTTGGGATAACCCAAGCGATGACGACACTTGTAGAGAGTTTGACGGTACATTAATATTAATAAGACGGCACATCTCAAATGTGCTCCTGCCGAATAGCGCCGAAACATAGCCCACAGTAGGCAATCTAAAAATAAACGCCATAAACTGTGCATTTTTCCATACCAAAATTATGTGGGCCCCGGAGCATTCCAGCGGAGTGCTCAAGTGAATTGTGATTAGTTCATTGTCTTGTCGCTATTTTAAGTAACTCTGTGACCGTGAACCTGAGGGAGGTGAACGTGACATACTTAAGTCGCCGTCCTATGAGTTGTGCTTTTGAACGGTTTTGTAGTGGAGTGGTGAAAGGTATTATTTGAGTGTTCAGTTCTAATGCAGGATGAATGAAATTGACGTTTAGCTAACAAACAGATTTAGTTCTAGAAGTCAAAGCCACAAGTAAAAAGAATGAAAATAAAAGCACAAGGTCTTCCTTCACCAACCCAAAGATCCTAAAATTATACACCATCCCATTTACTCTGCCCCTGATTATCTTCAGCCTAAGATAGCTTAATTGTGCACGCCCACTTTTTAGACCCACGAGCCGCCCCTGATCACCTCATTCAGCGAATGCACAGACAATATGAAGCCTTGATTAAAGCCAGAGGTAATCATAGTTGTTTAATGAAGCTGTCACTTTGCACTTCGACCCGTGACAACTGTACGTCCAAAACTGGAGGTTATAGGCATTTTTCTCTTTTCAATCAACGAGTTTTCCTTTGTTGGAAACTGAATGCACAGTCTTATTGGATTGTTAAAAGAAATATTCGATGAATATCAACAAAACTATTACCCTTAATATGAGGTATGAAGTTAAATATGTGAAAGGATATACTAAGATAATATTATGGTCAAACACACACGCACAGACACACACTCACAGACACGTAGGCCTACAGAGACACACACACATGCACACACACGCACTCAAACACACACACACACACACACACACACACACACACACACACACACACATACACACATGTATTTACCGTGGGCTCCGCCCAAGAACTCGTCGTCGTTAAAAAAAACCCCGGCCTGCTACTCTAAAGATTCTGCTTTTTCTGGGTACCGGTGATAGAATTCTTTGTGTTTGATTTGGGTGTTGAGGAATCTGAAATACTAATCCACCTTGGAGCCCGGTTCTAGTTAAGAACAACACATTCAACGCCTAAGCATCCTGCTTATTGCCAAACCTGATAACAGACTGTCGATTTTAATGAAGGTGAAGAAAACAGGTTGGAAAGGTGTGTTGGGGATTGGGGGGGGGGGGAGGGAGCGAGAGTGGTGCATTGACTATCAGACGACGAAATTATGGTTGTGAGAGTTTGGAGAAATGAACGTTTTGGAAGCTTCTGGTAGAACATAACATCATCATAATCATTATCATCATCGTCATTTAATTGTCTTTCTCATCTTAGATCAGGGTATAAGCCACAAACAAGCGCTTTCCACATTTCCCTATCCCCGGCGAGCCTCTTGATGTTATCCCATATCTTCTTCTTTGTTTGTGCAAGTGTATTTATCTGATTGTGTACCGAGAGTAACGCGTTCATTTGCACATTGAGTAACAATGAGAATTGAATTGCTGAGTGGACCCCACTTTCATTGTAATGTCTCTATGGGGTAAATGTTATACGGGTGCCCACTACGGCTGGGATCGGCCGATCGGGCCGATCGCCTCGACTCGA